GGCGCGCCTGGGGCCGCGGGCGGCGGGCAGCGCTCGGGGGGTTTGTAGCGCAGCCGCGCGGCGCCCCTGGAAGCTTTTTGGGGCCATGTGCTTGTTGAGGCTCCCCCGAATCACGCAGCCTCTGGAAAAGGAGGAGGAAGAGATGGTGGCGCTCATGGAGCAGGTAGAGGGGGGTGTGTGTGTGTGTCTGCCTGGGGGTGTTGATGGGGAAATGGCGCCCTCAGGCATGAGGGGAGAAGGACATCAGGGGCTGGTGGCCTTGTGCACACCGTGGGTGGGTGATGCTGCTCCCCGAACGCTCTGCATGCGATCTGCGCCTCATCTCGTGGGTGTTGGTGGTGTTCCCATGGAGTTCCTCCGTGGTGTTGGTGTGCCTCTGACACGCTCCTGCTGCAAGCAGGGAAGCCCTGCTCAGCCTCGGGAAATTCCCATTGCCTTACGTCTGCTGAGTTGGAAATGATTTAATTGTGCTTGCCAATACCTATAGTGCTTGTGGCTTAAGAATTCTTTATGTTGCTATTCTAGATAGAGCTGGAGAAGAGCTGCTATTCAGATCATGAAATCCGTAAGCTGGAGGAGGAGGAGCAGCTCAAGAGGAAGAGGGAAAGCTTGTATGATGAGGATGAAGCACATGGCAAAACTGTCATCATGGCTCAAGACCTGGAGGAGAAGTGGGAACAAAAGTTTCTGCAATTCAAAGCTGCCCCGCGGGTAACAGGTACAGCCTGGATCTCATGGTGGGTGAGAACTCTCAGATTGTTCGCCAGAGTGCAAGTCAGTAGAAGGAAAGCATTTTGGGGTCTGTTTTTTATTTGTTTTAAAGAGAGTCTTGACTCTGTGGCAGCACATATGCAGTTAACTGCCTGATAGGGAAATCCATGTTCCCATGCTGCAAAATGATGAAAATATATGTGGTTTCCAGACAAGAGAAGTATTTGGTTTCCAAGCTCTGCTTAGTGCTCTTGTTGATTTTTGTGAAGGTGGAGATCCAGGCTGCTTAGTATAGAGTCCTTCTGGAAAGGAAAACAGCAGCTGACTCCTTCAATGACTTCCAGAGTGACTGAGAGCATTCCTGTCTAGATTTTTGTCTTATTCTATGTATCCACATTTGTGTATTGTTGCTGTGTGTGAGGCATAGAGGGTTGATAATCAAGGGGGTCAGAGCATACTGCCAGGAGACTTTGTTTCCAGCGTGTGTTGGTTTTTGGCAGATGCTGATAAAAGCAACGATCGAACGTCATTGAACAGGAAGCTGGACAGCAACCTGATGCTTCTGGTGAAACAGAAAATTGGTAACCAGGAGCTGTGGCTCCTGCCTCAAGTGGAGTGGCAGCCTGGAGAGACGCTGCGGAGCACAGCTGAGCGAGCCATGGCTACGTTTTTGGGTGTGTAGCTTGACTCTCCCTCTTGTTTGTCCCAGTGGTTTTCTTCCAGTGCCCTGTCTAAGGGATATTTGCCATCTGCTGTAGTGAAATCTTCTCCCATCTGCTGGGAAAAGGCATGTCATGGCAAAGGGCTGGCGCACTGTCAGCTGGGATCTCTGCCTGCCATCAGCAGCAGTGCCATGTCTGGCCATCATGGCTTGATTTTGGGGTATCACAATACACCCCTGAATGTCTGGGATTCTTTTGGGCTTGTCTTTCCCTCTTGTTGCCCTGTAGTATCTTTTGTGGCAGATGGGTGATGATGGCAAGCATGTGTTCTTGCTTTTCACTCAAGACTGGCAAAGCTGGATTACCCTCTCCTTCCCTTCCTTCCTTTCCCACTCTGAGAGGACTCTCTGGTCTCCAAATGAACTGTTTTTTCATGAGAAAAAAACCACAGTTTTTTCACAGTAGTCAGTATTTCTGCCAAAGAGGGAACAGTCAGTCTGAACCACTTACAAGGAATAGTTTATGCTGTGTTTTTGTTATTCAGGGAAGCAGTTATTGTTGCTCTGTGTTCTTATGCCTTGCTGTCTTTCTCTTGCATTGCTGTCTTCTTGCAGGAGATCACATTCAAGCCAAAGTGCTGGGGAATGCACCATACGGGATTTACAAGTATAAATTCCCCAGGGCCATCAGAACTGAGAATAACGTGGGAGCCAAAGTCTTCTTCTTCAAAGCCTTCCTCCAAAGCAGTGATTTGTCCCAGGCAGAGCTGAAGGCAGATTACCTGTGGGTCACAAAGAAAGAGCTGGGAGAATACCTGAAGACGGAATACCTGAAAAAAGTCAATCGATTCCTTCTGGACTTGTAAGCAGTGGTCTGTGTTCCAGCAGATGGAGAAGATATGGGACGTGGCTCCAGGGAGGAGCACAGCTGCTGCTTTGCATGGTCTGTGTGTATGAGATGTTCACTTGGGCTCTGGAGGATAATTTGCCTTTGCCTTATTTCCCAGTTCTCTTCACTGGCCCTGTACTGAATAAATATTAAAATCTATACTCGGAAATGAAGCCTTCCTGTGGGAGTTCTTTGCTCTTGTTGAATTCTCCTCCTCCACCTCTTCTGGAAATACATGTTGTGATCCTTTCCTCTCCCAAGAGTGTGGTTCCCTGGGGCTGTGGTACCCAGAAGGTTTGCTTTCCTCTCCAGACTCCTGTCACAGGCTCAGCCTCAAAGAGTTTCTCCTTGCTATAGCAAATTCTTACCACTGATATCTGCTCTCTGATAAGAGCAGCACTGGAGGGTTATCTGTATGTCCAGGTGGAAAAAGACCCTTCTCAACACCAGCCAGGACAAGGTGGGTTTCTGGGGAGATGTAAGTAGGGATATTCACAGCTTATTAACTTTTAGTGTTAGCTGCCTCTGGCTTGGAGTCTGTGATGCACAGTGGCTGTGGAGGACAAGGATCCATGAAGAACAGGCAGCTGCCTTCCCACTCACACTGCCTCCCTTTGAGCCTCAGGTTACAGCAACAGACCCTGAAGAAGGATAACAGCAACAGCAGGTGCTCTCTGGGCTGTGAGGCTCATTTTTCCTGGGAGGGGAAGGTGCTTTAGCATTGCTGCCTCGTGGGAGCAGCCTCAGGTGTCTCTAGGGAGTTCGTGGCTCCTATTCCCACTGCATCAGGCCAGCACTTCTAACCAGCACTGCTGGGTCTGCTTCAGGTAACCTGACCTTATTATACCAATTTCTTTATTAGAAGATCTCTCTGTGGCTGGTTCTGTTGGAGGTTTTTCTGATTGTAAATGTTGCTGTTCAGTAGTCAAGACTGCTGCTGGAGCTCGCAGGGAATGAGCTTCCTCCAGCAGCAGGGAGAGAGGGAGGAAATAACTGTCGTTAATCATCCAGAGAGAGTTCAGCCTCCAGAGGTGGAACTGGAGATTGCTGTATGTATTTTATCAATCCTTTGAGAGCTGTTGAGCTCCAGGCCTCAAATTAAAGTTATCCTTAATCACTGTGCAAGCCATTGGGGTGGACGGTAGCACAGCAACCTTCTATTTTCTGATGCAGGACAGTTTGGGAGCTGCAGGTTTGCCACAAATTACCAACAACACTTGGTTCCTGGAAGCATCCTCACAGGCCTGGCAAGGAGCCTGAGTCTGCAGCAGAGAGATGTGGCAAAGAGGAAGTAAATGTGGAGCAGAGCATGTGCCTGAAAGACTGCAGGTTTTTGGCTGCTCTCTGAGGTCAGCACTGCTGAAGGGAGGCCTGTTGCCTTCTCCAGGACTGGAAGCTCCTGCAGCAGCAGGAGGTGAGTCCTTCCCCTCAGGCTGTGCCCCTGCTGTTGGGGGGCATGGGTGCAGTCGGTGCAGGTTTTCTCTGCCACTCTTATTTCAGGCTGTCACTGACTCCAGAAGATGCAGCAGAGCCCTTGTGGCCACAGGCTTAAGGCACGCCCTTAGCTAAGGAATCTGCCCTGTTTGTCCACACCAAGGTAGGTTTTGTATTGCTGGAACAGAACTTTGGAAGCATAGAAAATGCTGTTTAATCTGTGCTTGCTCCCAAAAGACAGAGCACAAGTGAAAGAAAAGGCTGTGCTGAAACCTTGCTGATCTTCAGACTCAGGCAATTCCTATTTCTGGATTACTCAAGCTTGCAAGTCTTTGGGCATTGTCTGTGCTGAGAGATGTGTAGTTCCTTCAGCAGTGGAAAGGTCAGAATCAACAGCATCCTTCATTTTTTAATATTTTTTTCCTTGTCCTCAGACCTTCTTACAGGAGAAGCTTGGTCTTTTCTGAAAGCTGAAGCTGTTGTTTCCTCATCACCTGAAACAAAAATTCATGCTTGTAGCCTGCATGGAAACAGCACCTTTTTTAAAAAAATTATTTTATTTATTTAAATTATTTTTAATTTTTTGTGTTGTTGATTTTATTTAAAGCCACTCAGCCAGTTGATGCAATCACAGACACTGCAACTCAGGGGCTCGGTTCTATGTGGTCTCTTTTCTTCCCCAGCCCTGGGGAGAGAGAAGTCAGGAGGATCCTGGAGGGTGGTTTGAGTCTTCTCATTTCCTCCACTCCCAAACTCCTGCAGCAGGTCACTGAGGCTGTTCTTTTGCTTTGGGAACTTGGTTGCTGCAGGCTGTCTTTCCACTCAGTGTGAACCTGTTCCCATACTCAGAGCTGCAGAAGTCTGAGCAGGCTGGTGGGATATATTTTGCTGGTAACTGCTGAAAGGGCAGCACAAAGCCTGAGAGCATTTTCTGAGAGAGTAGAAGAAGCCTGTGGAGTGGTGGCTGTGTGAGAGCTGCTGCAGCCAGGTGTGCCTCCTGCTGTCCAGCACAAAGAGCAGGGGGAACATTTTACTTTTGCTAAACACGAAACACAAAACTCCCCTTGAAAACATGATGGAGAATCACCAGAGTGTTTGTCTGGGTGTTGAAGGAGGCTGGAGCTTGTTTGCCCCCAAACCCTGGAGGGTTTTTCTCACCTTGACAAAGGCAAGACATGAGATCACTGCCAGAACCTGAGGCTGCAGCAGGCGCCTGGGAAAGAAACTGAGTTTGTTGTGGCTCTTCAGTGCAAGGCACTGTGAGATCAGTTGAAGAGCTCTCCTGTGAAGTGTGCACTGGAGAGATGAGTTTTGGAAAGGACCTGTAACTCCTCACTTTGAGAGCAGCAATGTGAGGCTTATCCAAGCAGTCCAAGGTAAGATCAGTGCTGCTGTTATTCGCTCCTGACTGCGCACACTGGAGAGGAGGCTCCTGACTGCTCAGCCTGCAGAGGCTTTCTGCTCCTCAAAGCCATTTTTGGCATAAGACGCTTCCATTCTTGAGAGTCATACACAAAAAGCTTTATCCTTTCCCTCTCCAAGGGTGAAGGAAGCATCTCAAGATGCCCTGACCCTGGTGTGATGCAGTCCAGCAGCTGTTGCTAAAAGTCTCCAGTAGCAGACACAAATGGAAGGAGCAGTTGCATTCTAAAGCGCTGGCATCTAAGCCATTGCTTAAATCACCATGTTAGAAGAGAGAGCTGAAGGTTTCCTTTGTGGCAAGTTGATACTAGCACTCCCCTCCAGTGGAGGAGAAAGAACAAGTCCTAATAAAAACACTTTTTGGCTTCACAGATAGTTTTCCTTTACTGTTACAAAATTGTTCCCTAGCTGATAGCCCTCCTTGCCTGTGTAAATTTTGGGGGTTGATGCTCTCTAAGCAGCACCCTGTTTATATGTTTTGTAATGCAGCATGAACTGTTCAGAACATCACACTTTCTCACATGATGGGAAGCTGCTGTCTTGCTTCTCCTGGCTGGCCCCAAGCAATGAAAGGCTTCAAAACTGGGAAGATAAATACATATGGAGCCAGGAGAGGCCTTTGGGGCCACAGGCTACACCTCTTGCTCTCTGAAAACCTGTAGGACAAGAGATGCTGTTCTCCCAAATACAACCATGAGCAAGGGGAGCTGCTGGGGTTCAGGTAGCATCCTGAGGCATCCCTGGCTGCCAGAGCAAGGCAGTCAGTGAGCTGGCTCAGGGAGCATGGGAATTGTGCTGTACCAGGGAGCAGCCTTTGAGCTCACTCCCTGTCCTGGAGGATGAAGCATCTCTAGCAGCATCAGTCCCTTTGCCTTTATGTTCAAGTTCCCATTCTTGTGTTGGAAGGGATCTGTTTCTTTGGGATTTTCTGCAGGTGCTACCCTTTCCTGTTTTGCTCTGCTGCCTGCAGGGGATGCAGTGTGGGCTGCTCTGCTCATGGCAGCCCAGAAACCCAGCAGAAAGTTGTGTGGGAAATCTGCTTGAGGTCACCAGTGACACCAGTGGACTAGATCCCATCCTTTTGTTTTGGAGGACACCTTTTTCCTCCCTTTGCTTGTGGAACCCCTGTGGGTTGGTATAACCAGCATGTTGGAAAGACACAGAGTGGGGCAGTTAGGAGGCAAGGCTTGAGTGAATCTCTGCAAAAGTAAGAATGGATATAAAAGAAGGGGTGCTTCTGGGAGACTTGTGCTCAGGGTCAAATTTCCCCAGAAGCTTTGTTGATACTACCCAATCCTTGACATCAATCCCTCAAAAAAGGAAAGCCAGGAATTTTTGAGGTGAGTGTGAAATGCTGACAGCAGGAACCCCCTTCAGGTAGCTCCAGCTACAGCCTTGCTGTCAAGGCTACTTTTCCCTAACAGATCTTGTGGGGTATAAAATCCTTTGTCACGACTTCACAGGCATGCTTGAAGACCCAGGGGCATTTCTCAATCGAATTATGAAGGGTCTTTCAGCAATATTAAAATGAAGCTTCAAAAACAAGGCACAGCAATGAAGCCTTTATGGAGAGAAGGCAAAGCTTTAGGACTCACCATCACAGCCCACTCCAGGAGCAGGACTGTGTGCTGCCAGCAACTGGCTCTTTACCTGGCTGCTGAACATCCAATTTCATAATTAACTGATGCAAAAGTTCAGGAAAAGATTTTTCAGTTAACAGTTTGAAGTTTAAGCTGAACTCTGTTGGAGCTTAAGGTGAGAGCTAATTTTGAAGGCAGATCATCTTCTGAGGGGCTGCTCTTCCTCTCAAGCATCTGGGCAGAGGGAGACTGGGGACATCATGACATGAGGCATGGGCCAGCACTGCTGCTGCCTGCCTGCTTTCTGCTGTCTGTCATCTATCAAAATAATTATACCATTACATTTCTCCTTTCAGGTTTTACCCTCCCAAATGGTATTCCTCAGCATTAAACCTGTGGGGTGAGTGAATTATTGGGGAAAAAACCTAGATATAATCCAGGTTTAATGGGCACATAGAAAAACTACGCTGGGTTTGGAGGGTGGCTCAGCCAGTGTCCTGCTTCTGCAGGCAAATAGAAATTTATCTTGATGTGTGTATATATCTAGTTTCGTGAACTGTGAGCTCTTAATAATTGGTTTGGTGACCTGCCGGCAGTGTTCTCTCTCTGTAGAGCTTTCCTCAGTCCCCAGTTAATATAATGGGTCACAAATCCCATTTGCTTTTGAATTCTGAGTAATCCTTTTGTTAATGTTGCCTATTGCTTTTCTGGAAGCATTGGGGGAGATCGGAGCCGCG